GCCAGACGACAGCGGTGGAGGAGGCTGGAGCGGGTGGGAGGACATTTGTGAGCCTCCGGGCATTCAGGGCTAAACTCTGGATCGAGAGCCCCCTCTAGCCTGAATACGGGAACAGGATGGCGCTCTGGAGGAGCGGACACTTGAGGGAGCTTTCTAGGAGCAGGCACTGGAGGGTGCTCTGAACTGGATCCGGGGACTGGAGCCCTCTCCTCTTCGTTTTGGCACTTTCGCCCCGCCATACTCCGCTCACCCTCAGCCACGGTGCAGGGGGCGGAGCTCCTCGCCACGCTCACACCGTCAATGGCTTTCTCCCTCGTGGCGGGCATTGTCGCCGGCTCTCGCACCTATCCGTTTCTCGCCAGAGTCCACTCCTCGAAGGCAACGAAATCCTCTCGAGGACCATCGTCGGACGACGGGCGCTCTGCTCGCGGTGTTCAAGCTTGCGTCATAGAATGAGCAGAGCACTTCATCCGGGTAGCTGGTGGTGCTAGCTAACAGCCGGAACAGTCTTGTATGGTCCTCGAGAGAGCGCTCCCCCTGCTCCAGTAGGAGGAATAATTCCGGGCGAAGGAAGGGATCCATAGACACAACGGGAAACATTACAGAAACAAAAAGACTGAGGAAAAAACTAGAAAACAAATGGAGGGGAGAACACGGAGGTAACTGTATTCGGTCGGGTCTTCTGTCACGTTACGCTGCCAGAAGGAACACGGAGCTGTGGATATTTCTCAATAGTCAGTTGAAACAACCTACAAATGTGTCCTGTCGTTTGCCCTTGTTGAAGAACGTCTACACTTGCCTGTGCAGCATCTGAAAGACTAAAACACTAGTACAACAACACTAAAAGTATCATTGCCATATATTTTATATATATTTTATTATACTACCACGTAAATCCCATGGAACATGAATATTGTTATTCTCTAGGCCTATATCTTAACCATGTTATTCATACCATCACTGTACCATAATAGGCTACTGTCATTGTAAATGATTTTTGAAGGTAATTCCACATCATGGAGAAAAGGGAAAAAACACAGACAATCTTGAGTTTTCCATAATGATGGCTGGAAGCTATAATAGTGTATAAGTATGTATGTTGCTTCTCTTCAGCTCCTTTTTTTAAACTGTGGTAAGAAAGACAATCTTTTCTATGTCAAACTTTAAGTATCTGGGCTTCCACCAATCTTTAGTTACAAGCTAATATATTCCACTGACCTTACCAAAGGTCTTGTTATAATATGATTTAATATGAGAGAATATGCTAAACTTAAGAACTAATGGAACAGAAGATGAAATATATAGCCAGAATAGATTTACAATTCATACAGCTCCAGTTAAATGTTTAATGAATTATACCAGCCTGGTCTCATGTTTATACGTAGGTATTAATACGTAACATTTACAAGCACAAAACGTACATTTTTGTACGTTTTTATTCATGCTAAAACGTACAATTTAGACGTATTTCAACGTTTAAAACGTACAAATCGCTACGTATTTTTAGCTAAAAAACGTACAAATATTTACGTATCTTTTATATTGTGACGTTTTGCACTTTCCCAGGAGAAACAGACAGGAGTCGAGAATCCGGTTTGCAAGCACCCAACGGGCTGTAATTTATTTCCTGAACGTTACAACCTGAAACGCGGGTATCAGGAGGTGTCTTAACTTCCCAAAAACAACAAAACGCCAGAAAGACTTGCCTAACTTGCTTTTCGCCCCGCTCACCGCTCACTCACCCCTCCTTTTTTTCTCTTCCTGCCTCCGCGCCTGCCCCTCCCTCCTCCCTCTTTCCCTCCCAGACACCTCCCCCCAACAGCAGGTGATGTCTCTAATCCCACTCCTACTTAAACCTAAACATTTCTGGACAGTATAAAAAGCATGACAGACAGATAAATGCAATTACAATCATTTATTTATTGCAAAAATGTCAAAAGCAGCACCAAATGTAATCCAAATGATGTGTTGCACCCGCAGTCCTCTCTGGCGGAATACAGTAGGTTTGTGTGATCCAGAGCAGAATGAATGTTGTTAATCGCTGAAAATATTATCCAGATAATTTTCCCGATCCACTCCGTGAACTCCTGAAGGCGCGCTCGCATCATTCAAACACACCTCACCAGAAACACGGCATGTCGCAATCTGTGACGAAGGCAGGCGATAGCCAATGAGCGTTCGATTATCCTGCCGTAAAACCTGTCGTTTGAAGCGGCAACATTTGAATTTGTAAAGAGCGCTTCAGTCAGCGCGGGCTTTGCTGCTCACGGTCACTGGACTCTGCTGCTCGGGATGGAGAAGAAGATCGC